AAGGTAAGGGATACCCTATAAATCTATATCAAAATTATAGCAGTTGAGATAAGTAAAGATACCCTGTAACATCTACAAAGCTGCAAATCGTTGTGCAACTAGTAGATACCCTGCGTGTAACTTACGCCCTGTTAAGCTGGTTAGTAAGGAGATCGAACGAACAGAAGATACCCTGTAAGTCTATTATATCACATATTACAATAAGTAAAGATGCCCTGTAACTCGTTTTGATATACACCGTCTACAATGCACTAGTGCAGCTGACTGCGCGACTGCTAGATACCCTGTAACTGATACTTCTGTAATGGCTATAGTCAGTTGCTGCTCATTCATGCTAGGCTTAAAGATACCCTGTATTTCGATTAGATCTACCGAGGAATCACAAATACGATTCATATACAATTTGTAAACGTGTCCTTTGGCTGATAGACTAAAACATACCCTGCCTACCCGCAAGGGCTTAAGAGCTAAGACCTTTAGTTAAGGTCCAACAAATTAACTAAATAATCATTTGAGAAGGGCAAATGTTTCGATGGAGAAAACAAAACTGGGAACATGCTCAAAAAATCTCCATTACTCAAAATTGAATTTAAAAGCCAAGCAAACTAGGCCTTACATGCAAGCAAGTTTTGCTGGGGTTAAAGGCCAAGATTGGGGAGGGGGGTGGTGGTGGTTTTTGGGCGGCGGGGTGGCTCAGGTGTGAACCACCTGTGCTGCCGATTTCGCCTTGAGGCGTTCACAAACTGGCGAACAACTCGCGAGCAGCTGCCAGCATGCGGTTGCTGCGCTTTTTTGGGGCATTAAATTCGCCGTGAAATGCGCTGCATTGGCGCGGCGAAAGGCGAATTCGTTGCGCTTGCTTAGCAGGGCATGGCGCATGGATCAGGGGGGAGGTTGGGTGGTTCGCATAAGGTTAAGGCAACGACCTACCTGATGCTCCTTGTCTTTCTTTTGCTCGCGTTCGCGTTCCTTTTTGCGCTTGCGTCGACGGCTGCTGCGACTTGGCGGCGGCTGCAGCTGCTGCTGCTGCTGTTGTTGTTGTTGCTGTTGTCCCCCGATTTGGCAGCCATCGAGGCTGATGGCAGCGCTGCCGCTGTCGCCGGCGGCGTTGGCAGCGCTGTCGGCGTCACTGTTAACGTTGTTGTTGCTGTTTAGCTTGGGCATGGGCGGCTCAATGCCGCCCTTCTTGAGCGCCTTGGCAATGGCATTCTCAATGCTGACCGCATGATCATCTGTATGTGTTGGGAGCAGGAGGTGGAGGAGGAGGAGGTGGAGGTGGGTTTATAATGGAAAAAGGGGCGCGAGAGTGAAAAGCCAGCTGGTTTTATTATAATTTGTTTTTTTTTTGTTTTGCTGTTGTTGCTGTTGTTGTTTACCTTCGAGTGGGCGTGGCTTCTTTGATTTGTTCGTGGGCGCGCCGACGGACGACGATTCGCTGGCCATGCCCAGGAATATGACGTCATCGTCGTGCAGCAGCGGCTGCTTCTCGCTCAGACGCTCAATGCCCACAAATTGCACCTCATCATTGGAGCCGCCAGCTTTAAAGGCTGTGGGCTTTAGTTGTTGTTGTTGTTGTTGTTGTGTTTGGTTTAGTATTTGTTGTTGTTGTTGTTGTTGCTGCTGCTCATCATCATCGTCATCATCATCGATCTCGCCATCCTCGAGATCCTCGGCTAGATTAATTAGCGGCGTTTCGCCGGCCACAACGGATGACATATTGCGCTTCCGTTTCAAAACAAGCGAAAAATACTGCAAGAGATTTGTATCGGGCAATTAGCTTAAAAAAACAAAAATAATCAAAATCTTGGGGGTCATATATATATATATATATATATACATGTACATAAATTATATTGGACGCATATGCATAAAGATTCAAAAGACTGTCGACCACAGTGCGGCATAGGCACATGTTGCAGGCCGTTTTGCACGCAACATGTTGCTGAGTGGGTGGTGGGGGGGCGCGTAGTAAGGCAAAAACAAACACCAAAAACAAACAATTCTCTATATATATACAACACACACACACACAGACACACGCGCTTGTGCTTGTGTGAGTACGTGCGCTTGTGCTACAAACACAAAAGTAAAAGCTTTGCCGCACACACATACGGGTGTGCTTGTATGTGAACGGCCACACACGTACCCATTTACTGGGCACATAACATAACGCTGTTAAAACGCAAAAGCAGCGCATCCAAAATGTTGCCAGCAACAATATGCTTAGACCTACGCACACACACACACACACATACACAGAGAGAGATTCACATGCACGTAGACACTTGTTGCTGTGGCGATGGCCTTACAAGCAAGTATGTATATATAAACAAATACATACGTGCACATAGTATGTACAGTATGTATATATGTATAAACAATGTTTAAATTCAATTAATAGCAATATGTGCGTAGCGAGCTTTCGATCAACGCTGTTGTGGACAACTGTTTTTGTAAATATAAATATGTACATTGCACGTGTAACACAGTTTGTTGTTGGCCAGCAGAAAGAGACAAAATTTACATATACATATGTACATTATTTTGCCAAATTCTTTTGGCGCTCATCAACACAGAGACACACGCACGCATACAGACACACACACACACACACAGATGCAAGCAACGCTCTGGCGCGCTCTCGATTCCGGCTGACCTGTCATGTTGTCTCGCTTGCGCGCATGTATTGAGCATAGAACGCAAATGCGTGACACACATACAAACACCCATATGCGTGCAGGCGAGTGTGCGTATGTGTTGTTGTTTGTGTACGTGTGTTGGGGCTATTGCTAAAACGTTCAAAATGCATATTTGATACGTACAAACAATTATGAATTATGTTTTGTTATGAAATTGCACTTTGTACTCGTTGTCTCTTATGTTGTTGTGTTGTTAGCTTTTATAACTGTTGCAAGTTGCCACAATTGTCAGAGCCACGCTGGGCGAAAGTTTTTGCTGCTGCTTGTCAATATGTACATATATAAATTGTGTGCGTGAGTATGTATGTGTGTGTGTGTGTAATGCGACGCCCCGCATGACACACGAACGAAAAAAGAACGCTACAGCAATGGCCGCTGTTCAGCTTGTACTATGCACATGCACAAATGCATGTACATGTGTGCGTGCGTGTGAACATGCATACATACATACATACATACATACGTATGTATACGCATGACACAGAGTAGGCCCGTAAGACATCTTTGTTGTTGGCAAATTACTTTGAAATTATAAAAAAAAAAGAACAATTCCTTGTTGGTTTCTGTTTGCGTTCTGCTCTCTCTCTCTCTCTCTCTCTCTTTCCTTTGACGCCAATTTGCTGCTTACAATGGGAAATGGGCGTGGCTGGCAACAAACAAAAACGAACAAGGATTTGTCGCAACAAAATTTGGAAAAGTTTTGTGCTAGGCATGTTATTTTTTTTTTTTTTTTGGTTTTTGTTGGTTGTTGTTGTTTTTGGAACAATTTCTCTTACGTTTCAGCGTGGGCGTGGTTTGTGGTTACGGAACATTTACAAATTACAGTTATTAATGATTTATAACATTTCTGTTCAATTTTCGTTGTTTCTTGGTTATATTTGGTTTTGTCGTTTGCTGGTTCCCTTTTGGTTTTTTTTTTTTTGCTTTTGCGTTTTCTTTTTTCTGCTTTTGCTTGCTTGGCGTCGTACAGTTCCCGCTGCTTACATAATGAAGTGGTACAGTAGGTGAATAGATATGCATATACATATGTATATAAAATATGTGAAGGTATATACATATACTGGCATACACATATACATATGGCTGTAGCGCAATATGTGTGCGCACACACACACATATACGTATTACATTTATCTATGCATATATGTATATATATGTGGTATATATGTATGAGAAATAAAAATTTCTTAGTTTCGTTATTTTGCGTTTCTTTTTTTTTTTTTTTTTTTTTTGGTTTTTTGTACATTATATGCAAGCTGTAGCTCTCTTTCTCTCTGACTGTGGCCCTGGCCTCTGTATATGTCTGTCCCTTTCTCTCTGTTTCGCTCATAGACAGAATAACAAATACATTAAATAATTAAAAACTCGTCAACATGAGCGTTGTTAACAATTCAACAATATCTACTTGAATGATTTGTGAAAATAGCAATCGTACACCTCGAACATAAACCAGGGCTGGTTGCGCCTGTGTGGTGAATAGCTGCTGAGCGAGTCCACTAACTGCAGTTGGCAGCACTGTTTGAGCGCAACTTTTGTATGCCGAGACTGTGCAAACGCTTGTGGCAACTCAAGCCACAAGCAATTGCTTCTAATATTTAAAAATGTCCATAAACAATTTATCGGGCACTATTAAATCTTGATTGCACTATGGCTCATATGTTGTGTAGCGCTTAGCGCTGCTGAACGCTGTCCGCGCTTCTGGCAGCACTGGCCGTGCATGGTGAATTTGTTCGATAAACGGCAGAGTTGTTGCGAACAATTTCGCAATTACAGAAAATAATGTAACATTCTATGACAATGTGTATATTTCTAATAATATGTATGTATTTGCGAATTTATCTTGAGTTTGGTAATGGGTTGAGGTGGTCAGCATTGGAGATATCTTATCTTACCTTAGACATAGGCTTAGACCACTCTTTATAATCAATGCGCTTGTAAATGATATGATTTGTTTTGCCTCAATACAAGTAAATAAATGTTTTTATTTTTATATTTTTTTTTTTAGAAATTGTCCTGCTGCGATGCATGTAACACAGTAATGAACATGAATTCGTAATAAAAGCACACAAGTTGCTTTCGTTTCGGTCTGAGTTATAAGTCAAGGCAAATTCTTTTGAAATAAGCAGCAAAAACGATGAATGCCTATCGATAAACAGTGTGACCTGATGTCACACATATGTATATTTATTAAGCCAAGGGTCACATTGCGATCGCGTGCTGTATATTAATTGTTGATATGAATTATTAACAATATTAAAAGCGCAAACAAAATAATTCTTTTTCATAACACACACTGCGCTCGCACACACTCACACACACACACATATATATATATATATATATGTGTGTGGGCACACCGATTTGGCCGACGATCAGTTAGTTTTTGGACTTCCCCGCGAGCAGCCAAACAATGAAATACCAGCTGGACAACATGCATGTGGATGATCTGCCCTACTTGGAGCGCGATCTGAACATTGCACAAAAAGTATATGCAGCCAAAATGGCCCGGCTTTCGTTCATACAATATCTGCTCTGTTAACAGGTGTCGCTAGCGTTCCTGCTCTTTGGCGATCAGCACGCCCTGGCCACATACATACTGCAGAAGCTGCTAGCGCTGATGGGAGCTGCGGACCAGCGGCATAGCGATCTCTTGCGCCAATATGCGGGCACGAATCCGGCCAATTGGCGCGGCCATCTCGTCGAGGCGCTGTGCATCATCAATGCACGCCAGGCACTGCGCAAACTGGGCTTCAGCTGGCAGGAGCTGCGCCTGCACTATTTGCCGCAGGTGCTGGAGGTGTCGCTGCATGTGCATCCGCTGCTGAAGGCCTTGTACAACATATGCGAGCAGCTGAACATTGCGCAAGCCGGACGCCTCGTTCTGGACATTAACGAACAGCTGGCGCGCCGCCAAAACGGCCAGCAGGCGGACGATCCGCTGCGTTTCTATGATCACGCCTACTTGGAGATCTTTCTGCTGGACTGGCTGACGCGCCATCATCTGCGACTGGGCGACATCAATGCCAGGGGCAGCGACATGCAGCTGCTCATCGAGTACTTCAAGTTCAACGATATGCACTCCCTGGCCACGCTGCTCATCCAGACGATCAACAGCTCCCATCCTGGCGACAACTGCGAAACGGATGCATCGCAGCCTAGAGCCACAAACACAGAACCCCCTGCTGTTGCGCCTGCGGCGGCTGCTCTTGCTCCAGTGGACGGCATCGTGCAACAACGACGCGCCAATGCTCTGCAAGTGCGGAAGGACAATGCCGGCATTTTGCTCATCATCAATCAGCAGAGATTTCATCGCAATGTCAGCGAGGAGCTGCGCGTGAGTAGACCTTCAATTTCTTGATAAACGACTAGTAGATACCCTGTACTCTTTGCATTATTCAGAGTATGTTCGTTGCATATAGTCCGATCCTTATGAAGTTTTCAAGGCAAACGCATGTTTCGATATGCCAAATCGTAAGACTTTTGGCTTTTCAAATGAGTTTTTTTTCTGTTAAAGTTTTTGAGTTGCGCTTAAAAAACATAATTTCTTCAAATCGATATTTATCGATAAATATTTGGGAGCAGCTATCGAAAGATATAAAATGAGCGCGCGCTGCGGAAGGCAAACAGGAATGTACTCAACTTTTATATAGTTTATTAGTCAATATTCAATACGATACGACTAGCTTTAGATTTGTCCATTTGCATAATTTACGACAAATTTTTACCAAAAAAAAAGGGTAAATTTAGCACATTTTGTTGTTTTTTAGTGCGTTTGCCTATGTTAACATTAATAAACGCGTTTTATCTAGGTCTGGCAGCACGATTAAAACAGGGTGGCAGCACTGCAACATGAACCTAAGCCAATTTGAGTAAACGGATCGTACGTTTATCGATATCGAGTGCAAAAAAAGCAAAAATCGATTTAAATGAACCGTTTAAAACGCAAATAAACCATATTAATGGCAAATGCAAAGAATATGTAAACAAACAATTGGCAATGCCAGGTACAAAGATAAAACAACAAACATTTGCAACTAAAATGTTGTTAATCAATTGCAATTAATTGGCAAGTTCTTTTTTTGTACAATTTGCAGTCGCTGCTGCCCGCCGTGAAGCTGAGCGCACGCGAGGGCACCGACGTGGACAAACAGCGGCTCAGCGAAGTCTTCTCGGAGCTGGGCTACAGCGTGGAGGCGCACGACAACGTGGACCATTTGGAGCTGCTCACCCTTATGCGCAAAGCCTGCGCCCGATCGATACTGCGCGATTCATTGATTGTGTGCATCTTGTCGCATGGGTTCGAGGGCGCCGTCTATGGCGCCGACAGCATTCCATTGAGCATCACGGACATACAGAACGTGCTCTGCGCCAACGAGGAGCTGCACGACAAGCCCAAGCTGCTCATCATTCAGGCCTGCCAGCAGAACGAGAAACAGCTGCAAACGGTATGCTGGCATTACACCATCTCCACTGGAAAACTCAATAGCATTTCTCTTTGCAGCGAGATGTGAATGCCACCACGCAGTCGCCCAGCCAGCATGCCAACATGGTGGTGGCCATGTCCACGGTGCCGCGCTTCGTTGCGCTGCGTCATAGCGTCCAGGGCAGCTGGTTTATCCAGACGTTATGCGATACGGTTAAACGGCATGCGGCCAGGTAAGCTAATCCTCAAGGCGAACAAATTAACCTTTACATTATTCTTTAACTCAATGTCAATTTCACTAACTGCCAGTTAAGGTACACATTGAAACAAGGTGGCAACGCTGTGCACAAAAACTGCCTTCATCGATCGGGCTCAAATCCCGAACTCTCACAAATTATTGACTTTGTATATATATTTATTATTTATCAGATTTATTTTTCTTGCAGCGAACATGTGCTGGACATTCTGACCATTGCCATTGGGCAGGTGACCGAGAAGCGCGGCGATAAGGATCAAAAAATGGTGCCTCTTGTTACGAGCACGCTGCGACAGAATGTTTATTTTCCGGCCATTTGATCGGCAATTAGTACTTAGCTAGTTGTATTATTATTCTCTGCCCTATTACGTTATGTTTTAGTCAAAATTTTGCTCTGCAATTGAGCTGAATGTTAACAATATTTGGTGCAATATTGAAAACAAACTTTAGTCAATATAAATTAATTTCCATTGTCTCAAAACTCATGTAAATTTGACAAGTAGTTACGCTTTTTGTCAACCAGCCAAGTGCTTGTCAACTTCGACAGATGATTACCATATAAGTTTGTTATTAGACTCATGTTAACTTGACAGCTTTACGTGATCAGATCAAGTGTCTGTTAACTTTGACAGACGGTTGCAATATAAACTTAACCTAAGATTCATGTTAACTTGACAAGTTGTTGATATTCTCATCAGATCAATGATTACTACAAAGTTTGTCGTTAGACTAATGTTAACTTGATAAATAGTAAAGCTTTTCGACATCATGTCAAGTGCCTGTCAACTTTGACAGACGGCTTTGTCGTTACACTCATGTTAGCTTGACAAGTGGATAAAGTTTTCGTCGTCAGATCGAGTGTTTTTCAATATGACCCTCACATTTCATGGCGAGCCGTGTGAAGAGCTGGACAATATGCAGCTATCTCAGTTTAATTCGCTGCGGATGAAAAAAGGCGTTGGAGCTATGGTCAGAAAGTTGGGGTATCCATTGGAGAATGTTTCCCATAGGCTTCACAGATTCTTAAACACTTTAACTAATTTAACAAATAGAAGAAATTATCTTTAAGTTATTTTGTCAATGTGTTTTTTTTATTGTTTTTTTGTTTTTATCACTTGGCTTACTGCGACACGCAGTAGACCAACTTTGAACACTTAACCGCGTGAGCCCCTTCTGCGGCTACTTAAAACCCGCCCAAATTATGTAATACAAATAAAAATAATGTACAATGTAAGAAATGTGTTCCGGTTAAAGACTAGGCGTTATCTTCAGCCTCCGTGAGGACCTTTTGCAGCTGAGCGAGCAGCTTCTTTTGCAGACTGCGATCCTTGTCGCCGACTGGCTCATATTTGCTGAGGATGCCGTGGAACTCTCGGGTTGTCTGCTGCTTATTCGTAAGGGTATTGCAAATGCGACGGCAATTCTTAAGCAGCAGCTCGAGAATTTGGACGCGACGGAAGAGACGCAAGTTCATCGATAGGAGCGCATAAAAGCTGGCCGCATAGCGTCCAATGCCGATCCAAGGCGAGCCGAAGATGGCATCAAAGGTGGCCAACTGATAGGGACTGTTGCGGCGACTGGCCCAGTCCTGGGCAAAGCTCTGCAACAGCGGCCACACATCGCTGGCCGTGACATTCGGCTCATTGAATTGGCTGACCAAATAGGCGATGCATTTGTTGCGCCACACAACATAATCACCCTTGGCCTTGGGCGGCTGCTTGAGCGGACCCGCAAGCGGCGGTTGTTCCTCGTTCTGTTCCAGCAATTGCTTGATGCAATCGATAATTGGCTGCTTGTCCTGGTCGGGCGATTGATAGCTTATCCTTTGGGCGAGCAGCTTGCGCAGCGTCTTCTTGCTGGCCTCGGCCAAGGGCTGCAGTTTGGAATCCGCGCTGCTGATCCTATAGACCTTCTGGATGCTGAGCAGTGCGTTCAGTATGATATCCAGCTGGGGCTGTGCACCGATGAACAGTTCAACTAGATCCAGGACACGTATGCGCAAGTGCAGCAATGCGGTGTCGGTGATGCGCTCCGATTTGGTCTGGCGCTTGGCATTTTTGCCCTTGGCCCCCTTGGGCTTGCGGATGTGGAAGGCGCGCTCCAGCGCTTGGTTAAGACGTTCGCCCTCTTCCTCGCCAACGTCGTTCCAGTCTATACTGCTGGAATCGATGTCATCATTTTCATTGCTGAGCAGCGCTTGGCGTACACCCTCGCGTATTCGTGCCAAGTTGGTGGCTTCATCATCCTCTTCCTCATCCTCCTCATCGTCCTCATCATCGTCATCGTCTTCATCATCTTCATCCTCCTCATCACTCTTCTCATCGTCATCCTCAGTGTCAGCTTCATCACTCTCCTCATCATTGCTGTTGGCGTCATCTTCATCGTCCTTATCGTCATCTCCCTCATTGACTTCCCAGTCTTTGTCGTCCAACGGATTCCTGTCCATGTCTAGCAACTCCAGAAACTGTTCCAGATTCCTTTTGTTCAAATGCGGCATTAGCGCGCCGCCAATCGCATTCACAAACAAACGCCAAAAGTGTCCGGTTTGCAGCAGCAATTGGAGCAGGACATCTGTGAGCACCTCCTGCCAGTTGGGTTCCGGTTCAGCCTGTAAATTAGAGGCAGAATAATGTTAACTGGTAAATATACAAAATATGAGCAAAGCTGCAAACAGCTTAAGCTTTAACATAATGTCAATTCAATTAACAGCACTGAATAACTCTATCTTAAGTAGCTGTTAAAGCAATGCTGTTAACACTGAACACTTACCGCAGACTTGCGCTGTTTATCCTTGGCCTGCTTTGTCTTGAGCGCGTTCTGCTTGCAAATGAACAAATCATCGATCAGGTCCAGGGCAACATTGCAGCTGGGCGTAAGCATGGCCAGGCCCAGGAACAGGATCAGCGCATCAAAGATAACAGCCAGGGCCTGTTTTTCCTTGACCGGCGCGTTCAACACTTGTTGCACCTTCTCCCACATGACGCGCATTTCGGGCGTCACAGTAATGCGCAGCTTGCCCTCGATGCCCGGCTTGGACAGCTTCTTGGCCAGCTGAACGAGCAGCGGACGCAGCTGCTCATTGAGCGCGGCCAGCTGCTCGGTGTTGGTGCCAATCTTATTTACGAGGCAACTGAAGAGCGTCTCCTCGCAGCGTGAGGCTGCCTGACGACTGAACACGGCCGCCTCGTCGGCCGTGCAAGGCTTCTGCTGATCGTCCAGATGGAAGAGCGAGGCGAACAGTAAAAATTCTAGCTGCTTGTTGCGCCTGGAGTTCTGCAGCTGTTGCATTTGCTTGAGGCAATGCTCGCGATTGGTGCGCGTCAACAGCTCGTTGTTGCTGGTAAACTGTTCGCTATAGAACTCATACATCTGCTCCAGACCCTGCTCGCCCAGCTGAGCGAGCAGCTGCTGCGTGAAACGTGGCGTCTGCACAATGTTATCCAGCTGTAGCTGCAACTGCAGCATGGGCCGCAGTATGCCCAGCTTGCAGGCATCCTGCTTCAGCTGCTGCTGGAAGCTGACGAGCAGCGCGGTCTCAAATTTGCGGCATATATAACGCAACTGGCGCTGGCCAGCCTTTGCCTTGGCATTCGCCTTGCTGTTCAGCTTCTTGGCGGCCGTCAGTTCGCCGAGCAACATGCTCACGAGCGGCTCCAGCGTAAACAGCTGCTCCAGCTGCATATCCGTGCGGCTGCCATCATCATAGTGCATCAGCACATGGGACAACGTTTGGATGATGTAGCTCTTGGCGGTGCCATGCTTGAAGGGCAAGTGTTCAGCGATATGCTGCTGCCAGGCGGCCAGCACCTGTTCGCTGGAACAGGTGGCCAGAAATTTGCCCAGACGCGCATAGAGGCCGTCGCCCTGCATGGTTGCATTGTTTAAATATGTGTCAAACAACTGCTCGAATTGGGTCTGCTTGCGCCAGAGCATCGTCTGCAGCTGGCGCAGCGGCAACAGCTTGGGATAGTTCAGATGCACGGACAACAGCAGATCGCAGCCATGCAGCTTTTGTGCCGTAATCGGTTTATTCAGTTCCGGCTGCAGCAGCGGCCAGACATGAGATTGAAAACTGGCCAAGCTAACCTGGTACACAAATAGACGCAATCAGTTGTTATAGAGTAGAGCAATTAGTTCCATTTAAACGCACCTGCTTGAAGGAGTCAGCCATGATGTCCGCACACAGGGACACCAGATATTCGCGTCCCTTTAGCTGTGCTATCAATATGGGATAGACGGCGGCTATCAACTCAGCCGTAGGCTGCTGGAAGTATTGGCTTTGCATAATGGCCAAAACGGTTATGAGCTGGCCCACAGCGGCCAACGTCTCCTCCTTGCCCTTCTGCTGGCTGCTCGCGTGTAGCTCGCGCTTCAGCACGCCGATCAGCTCGATCGGATCCAGGCCGGGCACATCGCGCAGTATGCTGTTAATATAGCTGGCGTTAAGGGCCACTGCTTCCTTGTCATCGGCGCCGGTGCAGCGTACCAAACGCTTTAAGGCATATGCGCAGGTTGCGGTGCGCTGTGCAAAAATCAAAATTAATAAACATTTTTTGTTGAAACTATTGGAGGTCGTTCCATATTCTCCCTTAAATGAACCCTGCTAAGGATACCCTGGGTCTCCTTTTACTCAATTCTTGGTGGGAAGCTATTTTCAAAAGGAATTAGAAGATCCCTCTCGGTTGCAGTGCCCCTTAATCCTTATCTCTTTTGTGAGAGATTAGCTCGACTAAGCTGATACCCCTTAATCCTTATCAATCATCTTCTCTCACAGAAGTTTAGCTCGACTAAGCTGATACCCTTTAATGTAGTTGAAGTCTCTCAAAATGTTGCACTCGCAACAACTTGCTCTAAAAAGTCTACAATTGAGAACATTTTTAACAGAAGAGAGAGAGCGCTTTTATAGTGGCCGCAGGGTTGCATTTAGCGAAGACAACTTGACATCTCTTTTGGTATTTATGCAGTATTTTTCAACGTTCTGCCCTGGTACACACACTTTGTTTATGTGTGTGAAAGAGAAAGAGAGCTGCAATAATAGACGCAGGGCTGTATTTCGCTCAGAAAACTTTACATCTCTTCTTGATAGTTATTTATTCTTTCCGAAATGCAAGACAATTGGATTTGGTATTTGAATTAAGTTTGTCAAGTTTTTAAAATTACAACTTTTTCAACTTTTGCGCTCAGCGTGGAAAAAACAGCTGTTCGCCTAACGGCGGCTGCGACTGCGTGTTGCAGTCGTGTTTGTTGTGAATGTAAAAAGCCTTGAATGGGACATTTATTTTACAGCTATTTCCCCAAAAGTGGGGACACAGAGTGCCAGAAGGACATTTTGAGCAAAACTTAAATGGAAATTTCCTCTTGTACATACCTTTTCCGCGACGGCTTCGTTGGTGAGCAGGGCAATCATTTCGTTGACGTGCTTTTGTGTGTTCTGCTTGTTGGTGTCCTGCAGCTTGTTGAATATGGCGAAAATGCCCTTGTTTATTTTCGAGGTGTCCATCTTCTTTTCGACCTGCGGTCCGTCCTCCGCTTCGATTTGGTCAGCGTCGCCGTTCTGCTTGTCAGAGAGCTTGCGCTTCTTTGCCGGCACTTTATTTATTTCGTCGGCTGTGCCATTTTGCGGCCGCTTTGCCTTTTCCTTGGGCGTCTTCTGGGTTTTGGCCCGCGGCGGCTGCGAGCTCTGCTGTTCGTTTTGATTTCGATTCTCTTTTTGGACGTGTTCGTGTTTTTTAACCGGCATTTGAGATGGCACGGCTCTATTGGCCACTTCTGGCTTCTTCTTGCCCATTTGGACGATGCTTTTTATTTAAAAAAAAAAAAAGGGAATATAAAACCAAAAACTTTGTTTTCTTATGCACCGGGTTCACAAAGCGCTCTTCAATTTATGGAGCACGTTTTTTAAAGAACTTGCCCGATGAATTTGTAGTCGCACGTTGACTGCGATACAGTGTTGTGTTTTCAATTAATATCGAAACTCTTAAGACACGTTCAGTTGAATTCAAGTCAGGTATGCTGCTCATTATGCATATACGCAGTGAAGCAAGAGCCTTATGTTAGCAATAAGAAATAAATAAAATATTGTTTCGTATTTTTAAGCAAACAAATGTTATTTTGCTGCCATATCAGATTCATAATAATGTAAGAATACTAATTTAATGCACAATACAATGTATATATATATAATATATAATATATTTTAAGAAAGAATCCGAAGATGAAGAGCTGTGCATATATAATCAGAATTTCGATATATATCTAACAGACACACATTTTTATAAATGTTTAAAACGATTTTGTAGAAAACGAGTTAAAGGTATTCAACTAAGTCTCATGTAACGAGCATACAAGATATTAATAAGAAATTTGATTTTTATAAAATATGTATATATCTGCTGACAGAGGCAACGTCTTTAATTCTTAAGCAAACGAAAAATTAAAGCGTCTTATACTTAGTACTTTCTCAGAGTAATAAGCAATAAGAAAGCTCTGTTTGCAGTAATTGTAAACGATGCAGTTAATATGCCAATATATCGCACAGGTATCGATACTAATAGAGTATCGATTGGAGCGTGAGCTGCATACTAGTTTTGCACAGCTGTTGCTAGTACGATTGCACGTGTTGCCAGAGCTGCATTCAATTTTTAGCCTTATTTGGTTGTTGTTTTGGTTTTGTTGCGCGGCGGCGTCATTTAACCGGTAATTCATTGAACGTATTCATTTGTGAAAGAACTCACAATGGGCAAAAACAAACGCAACAAGCAACAGCAACAACAACAGCACAAAAATGCTCAACAGCCAACGGCAGCGGGCCCAACGGCAACAACCACAAACAACGCGGAGGCGGCCAAAGGCAACCGCATACCCAGCCTCAATAATAAGAAACGCAAGGCCTTAAATTTGGTCATACAAGCGATATTGGATGTGGTAGAAATCCAGCCGGCCAGTGCGAACGACGAATGGAAACAGTATGCGGAGCTGCAGCCACTGCTGGAGCGTCTGATCGAGCAGGAAAAGCCGCTGCAGCTGGCCGTCTGCCCCGCAGAGGATGCGGCCAATGCAGACGAACAGACGCGCCTGGCCAAGGTGGCCGCCTTCAATGAGTGGGCGCGTGCAGGCGGTGTCCAAACCGATTGTGTGGAAATAACAACATTTCCCGGCTATCAGCTGGGTCTGCGCGTCACACGCGATCTGGCCGAGGGCGAGCAGGTGCTCAGTGTGCCGCGCCAGCTCATCTTCTCCGAGGAGCTGTTGCCCGAGGCGCAACGCAAGCTATTTATTGACTTTCCCACCCACCTGAATGTCACATATATGCTCATCATTGAGAAGGTGCGCGGCGCCGCCAGCAATTGGCAGCCCTTCATCGATACGCTGCCCACGCGCTACAATACCGTGCTATATTTTACCGTGGAGCAAATGCAGCGCCTGCGCGGCACATCTGCCTGTTCTGCTGCCGTGCGTCATTGTCGCGTCATTGCACGCATCTATGCCTCCATGTACAAGTGCGCCTACATGCAGCCCGATGACAGCGTTATGGCAGGCATGTCAAATCTCTTTACCGAGTACGGCCTCTGCTACGAGCTCTATCGGTAAGTGTGCATGTGTGCATGTGTGTGTGTGTGTGTAGGTGTGTAGGCGTGTGCGTCATAGAACTTGCCCTTCAGGAAACCTACCCTGCCACAGGCAACAATGGCTAGCACGATTTGCTTGTGGTGCCTTTGCCAAACTCATCAGAAGTGTTTGACACATGTCTTTAAGGGTATTTAGGCTTCGGCTTTGATTTGTTCTTATGCTCAATAACACTTAATACCATCTGGTTGTGGTTATTGGCCAATTGAATTGCAAAAATACTTGAGTTTTCAAAAACGTTTTACGTTTTGTGTGCTTTAATTTTGGCAAATGTTTTATTTCAAGGCTTCAAGCATGGAATGGAACAGTTTTTCAAGCTGCTTTTAGTATCTTGTTTCATTTCCAGCGTTTCAGCTTTACAACTGTTTCTTACCAACGTTCCATTCCACTTCGACTGTTACATTCCAGTGTTTCAGCATGATTATTAAAACACTTCAAGAATTTTTATTTTAATACATTTAATCGACTTGAATTATATTGGTTTTTAAAATGTCGCCTGGGACATTTGTGTATTAAAAACGCATAGTAGATATTTCCGAACCTATAAAGTATATATATATTCTAGATTAGCAACAACAGCCAAGTCCGTCTGTCTGAACTAGACTCTCAGTTTCAAGGGAAAGGGTATTAAATCTTCGGCGTGCCAAAGTAATTTTTTCTTACTCGCTGAAATAATAATTTCATAATTTTCCAACATATTTTTTTTACTACATTTTATTTTGCACAAAAAAAAAATAATAGAATAAACAAAAAGAGAAAAACAAATCGTAACTTATTTACATGCTTAAATTTACGTATATATGCATATTATATTTTATGTATACTTATATGTGTATTTAGTTATATTCTTCGTATTTTGTGGGCACAACAAAAACAAATTGAAATCGTAAAATCGGAATTCGGAAATTTATATTTTAGATATTCGTAGCGTTTTTGAGCAATTTCTCGTTTTTCTAGTGCACTGAACTGAGTTATAGCTTTTGTTGTTGTTGTTGTTTTGAATTTGTATGTCAAAGCAATAAATTTGTTATACTTTGATTCGCATCGTTTTAAATATTTATTGTCCTCAAACATTTTTTCGTTTTTGAATTTCCAACAGATTTTGCATAATTTGTTCGTTCAACATAACCTCACTAAAAGCACAACTGTACTTGTGCAACATAACCTCACTAAATGATTTCAGCACAACTGTACTTGTGTGTGTGTGTGTGTGTGTGTGCGCGCGCGTGTTTCCGCTAGTGCATTTCTTTTGGTGCGCTACCGAAACCCATTTGCAATTCTGTTTGTGCCCCTGAAACGCAGTTTTTTAAATCACTTATCTTGGCTTTTAGGTTTCCATTTCTAGTTTCACTTTTACTTTATTAATTTTTCGTTTTTTTTTTTTTTTTTTTTCGTAGGTTAGAGTTCTAAAATTACGTGCTACACGCCCGAGCATTGGGTCGGTTGTAGTTCGTATTGTAATTAGAGCTTAAGATCTAAGTTCTATTTGTTTAAGTATGAGCTCTGGGACAACATGACACTGCACTACAAATTGTCTCGTTGCTGTGAGCACAAGTTGAAGCTAGCAAAGTTGTTTTCCGCAAGTACGACTCAGCTTGCACTTGAATTGTGATTTTTTCTGTTAGCTCGTGTTTCGTGAAAGTCCCCAGCTGTAAATCGGTTTTGGCTAATGTCAAAGTGGGAGTAATAGATAAGCTCAGATAATTGGGAGTTTAGTACAGCATTTTCTCTCTAAAGAGAAATTACTTTTTTATTATAAATAATGAAAAGGCTTACTTCTTGCAACGCTTGCTTTACTTATTTAAATCTGCGCACTTAACTTTTTCTAGAAAAAGAAGAGTTCAGCATGGTTAACAGATTTTTCACTTTAGTCTGCGTTTTGTTCCTTCTCTTATATTGCATTTTTTCTAGGTACTGTGAACAGTAAAACTTGTTCTTGCTACACTTCTCGCTGCACTTTTTACTGCCTTTCTTGCTCGGCTTTTTACAATGTTTTCCCATATGTCTTTTGTTGTGCCTATACTTTTTCTTCTAAGCTTCGCTTTCTCTCTTTTTCGCTTCTCACTCCGCTTCTTCGCTTCTCACTTCTCTTCTAATTTGTTAGCGCTTCTTCCTGTTCTTACCAATTGGTCTTCTATTTATGCGTATCCGCCTCACCTCTGCTCACTTTTCATTCGGCAAAGCTGCTCGCTTCTCTCCTTATTATCGCTTCTCGCTTCGCTTCTCAGTATGCTTTTCGCAATGCTTCTCGCTACACTTCTTGCTTTTCCCTCCGTAACTCTTCGCGCTTTGCTTACGACTTAACGTAACTTCGCTTCTCGCTGTGGTTTTACCAACGCTTCTCGCTTAACTTTACGTTGTGCTTCTTGCGTTTCCTCATACTTTTCGCTTATCGCTGCGCTTCTCACTATGCTTCTCGCTACGCTCCCTGCCATACTTTTCGTAAAGCTTCGCGCTTTGCCAACTACTTCCCTTAGCTTCGCTTCTCGCTACGCTTATCACTTTTACTATCTCTTCGGCCGGCAATTTGTCGGACAGTGTCATATGATCCCAAACTATTTTTCAATTCTAGTCCTAATGCAACCACACACAAAAAAAAAATTCCATTTCTCTTAAGTACATAAACTAACGTATTTTCTGTGTATATATTTATAATATTTTTATGTATATTTATAGTTTATATAAAACTTGGCCTAAACGGAGCGATACTACCATGTTGTCTAGTGTCTCTGGACTGAGAGTGTATGTGTATGTGTATGTGTGTATGCGTGTGTGTGTTTGTGTTATCTAAACTGTTTTATCTAGAGCCTATCGCCTAATTATCGAACGATTTGCGCAGTGTATCGAATAGATATTCCTGCACCTCCGGCGAATTGGGATCCATGGTATTGAGTTTCTGGTGTGTGCTGCGCAGTGTAAGGGCCAATGAGCCAACGCCACGCCCAGCTGCCGTGGCAGTGGCAGTTGTTGTTGTTGCTGCCGCAGTTTTTGTTGCTGCTGATGCAGATGCAACTGTTGCCGCCTTTGTTAGGGAACTGGCACAGCAGCCCTCGCGGCTGAACAACAACGAGCTCTGACGCTGCAGCTGATGGGATTGCTGCTGCTGATGTTGCTGATGCACTGGGGTGCTGCACGAGACCGTGGCAATGGTTGGCTTGTGGCAGCCATCGCTGCTGTTGCTGCTGCTGACCACCAGCTCCTCCATGTGCTGGCGCAGCGA